GTTTCTCCGGTGAGAGTTAAAAGATGCATCAATAGGTATAACAATAAGCCATTAGAAGTTAATACTACATCTACTTATCAGAATAACAGTATTAAGCGCTCCTCTATGAACTGTAGCCTGTCTAGCCACATGTTCCTTGGCCTGATATCAGTGTCAATTTTATGTCTTTCTTGAGTAATCCTTAGGTATGAAATACAAAGACATTTTTGCTGTTCTAACCATTACAATCTCTATGGCTACAGTAGGGGTTGGCACAGGTTGTGTTATTTAATATTTGATGAATAAATTGATTAAATTGCTTGCCACAAATAAAAAAGAAATTTATGTTACCATCATAAAAACTGTTCAGTAATGTTTATTTCACCTTATCTTATTTTTAATCAACAGTCTCAAAAATACAGATGTGTTGTCAAGCTGAGCCGCCTGCTTCCTTGAGATGCTCCTGATCATTGTTTATGCTAGAAAAAGATCTCACAAGCATGTTTGAGAAACTAACAAAGCATGCACTTATTTACTGCACAAACATGCAATTTTCCAATCCAAATTCCAAAGAATAAAATCCTTGTGCCTTTTTTCAATGGCATCCAGGCTTACTCTAATCTCTTGTGGTTTTGGCTCAGTGGTCTGATATTAACTAGAGATGAGATTTCTCTTTAACAGCAAGTTTAGCTGAAAACAAATGACCAGCATCCTTCCCAATTATATTACTTCACCCAACTCTAAGTTGTCAAACTATGAAAGATATTCTTTACCATATTCCATTTTGAAGCTATAAAGATACTCTGTGAAAAAGATAACCCTGTCAGAGCTAGAAGGAAATATAATGGCAGTCTGAATATGCTGAATAATTACTGGCATGTAATTATTGTTCTGAACCATCGGAAGGTTACACTCTTCCAATGTTTGAGCCTCTTCTTGCTGGGTCCCCACAGACTTGCAGAGTGGCATGTTGAGCATCATGAGGTATGTTGCCCTGAATTAGAAAACTCAGGCGCATGTTACTCAATATCTCAAGAAGAAATTACTGACCTCATTCTAAAATTGGCAAATGAAGAGCATGTGATAAACAAAACAATTTCAAAAATATTATGAGGATGAATAAAATCCAGCAGACAGTGATACTACCCTGGGGCTAGAAACAGGAATGTCACTATACTTAGATCTGCTGGAAGTTGGAGAATTCTGGAACTTCAGAAATATGGACTAAGATGTGGCCCTATGGAAATACATACCTGGTATAGATAGAAATGGATCAAACATTATGTTTCCATATATCTCATGGTTTGTCTGACCTCTTGATGTGACTTGTCAAACCCAACCTGAAGTCAAGGAGCCTGTTTTATGAAATTAATAGAGATGAATTATCTAGAGTATAGTAGACAGCTCTCCTGAATATAACAAGAAGTTGATTGATTTAAAATTAGAAAAAGGTTTACTTTAGTTATACAAGTTAGTGTTTCTAAAGTGTTATTATTAAGAAGATTATTAAGGGATGAGGATGTAACTCAGTTGATAAGTACCTGACTACCATGCATGAGACCCTGGGTTTGATCTGCAGCACTGCACAAACTGGGTTTGGTGGCACATCATTGTCATCATAGTACTTGGGAGGTAAAAGTAGAGGGATCCTAAGTTCAAGATTGTCCTTTCACTAATATAACATGTTCAACCCCAGTCTGGGTTACATGAGTCCTGTCTCAAAAATAAAACAAACTGAAAACTAACAACAAAATACCAGTTTAAATAAAGATGCTATCCACAGGACAGAGGTATCTAAGCATAATAAAAACTGGGGAATTTTGTGTTCTGGAGGAAAAAGACAAAGGAAAGAGGTGAATTCTAATATACTGACTTAGATTTTAGTTACTGAGTGTTGGCCTTTATCAGTCACTGTAAGCCCAGAAGGAGGTAACACAATTGATGACAATAATTTTCTGTGTGAAACTAGGTGGGGGTGAGAGTTGAGTGAAATACTACTTGAACTAAGTATTATTTCTAAGCGATAAAAGTGGACAGCACAGCACAGAGGGCAAGATCACCAGAGGGCTTTTGAGTGGAACACGCTGGTTTTGAATATGGCTTTATTATACTCAGTCCACAATCATTCAACAATACTCTTACATAGTATTAACCATTTACTGAGTAAAATGCTAGATACCAGTGGAAAACTAAGAATCAATATAAGTGTAGTGAACCTGGAAAATGGGCATCAAATAACCAGAGAGAATGCCATCTTAATATAGTAGGAGAATGTTATAATACATAGAAAGGCAGAAAGCTGTAGAAAGAAGCAAAAGTTTGAGAGTAGGAAAATTAGCTTATAGAAATAGAAAAGATCGCCTGGGTCTCCATTCTAAAACAAATCAAAGCCACAGAAGATTGTCACACAGAAGAAATCAAATTTTTGTTTCTAAAGATTGCTTTCATTGCGTTGAAAAAAATAGATTAAAAGTTACTGAGTCTTGTCTAGAGCCCAAAGGAGGGGTACTGGAAACACTTCACATAAAAGATAATACTCTGGGGCTGGAGAGAGGGCTCAGCAGTTAAGAGTACAGGCTGTTCTTGCAGAAGACCCAGGTTTGAATCCCAGCACCCACACGAAAGCTTAATAACCATCCCATAACTCCAGTTCCAGGGGATCTGATACCCTCTTCTGTCCTCCATGGGCATTACACAGCACAGGTGGACTTACAAACATGCAGGCCATACATGTATATACATAAAATATTTTTAATAAAGATGATACTCACTGGCACAACAAAGGGGTGGCAGGAAAGCAAGCATGGTATTTAGATAATGATAGACAATGTTTTCTACTGTTGTAGCTTTTTTAAAAAATAGTTTATTATTTTTATTTTGTGTGTACGAATGTATTGCCTGCATGTATGTGAGTGCACCTGTGTCGTGCAATGCCACAGAGGTCAGAAGAAGGCTTCGGATTCCCCTGGAACTGGAGTTAAGGATGGTTTATAGCTGCCACGTGGGTGCTGGGAATCAAACCTGGGTCCTCTGCAAGAGCAGTCAGTGCTTTTAACTGGTGAGCCATCTCTCCAGCCCCTGGTTGAAGCTTTTGCAACTGAATGGATGATGGTGCTAGGCACTGAGCTAGGGAATTCACAATGAGGGCTAGATTTGACTGCATTTTGATTTAGCTTAATTGAGTTTAAAATGTCTTTGAGATGTGCAACTAGAAATGTCAAATAGGCTCTTGATGCAAGGTCTCAAACTTAGAGAATCAGTATGAGAAGTAGTCTGACATTGGTTGGCTTATAGCTGGTTATTCAAATCATAGGCAAGAGCAGATGTGAAACCCTAGAGCAAGAAAGATTGCAGAAGAGAAGGAATAATTGAACAAATATTTGAAAAGGTCTAATATCTTAAGGCTTATCAGAGTCAGCAAAAGAGACTCTGCTAACAGATGAGTAAGAGAAAAGTCTAGAGAAAACCAAGGCAAGAAAGGTGCCTCAAGAAATAGTGGTCAGCATCTTGATGCTTCATTGAGGACTGAACGTTGTCAAGCATGCAACTCATGAGAGTCATATACACTGAACCATGGGTGTGTAGACTAGGCTACAATGGATACATATGAAGAAATAGATTCAGTACAGGCAAATTTTGCTATACAAGGACAAAACAGAATGACACACAATTGGGGTATTCAGAACAACTTTTAATAGATCAACCTTTAGGGGCCTGGAGAGATGGCTCAGCAGTTAAGAGCACTGGCTGCTCTTGCAGAAGACACAGGTTCGAATCCCAGCACCCACATGGCAGCTGAAACTGTCCATAACTCCAGTTCCAGGGGATCCAATGACCTCTTTTGTCTTCTGCGGGCATTGCACAGCATGGGCACCCTTACACACATGCAGACAATATGCTCATAGGCATAAAATAGAAACAAGATAAAATATTTAAAGAAAATAGACCAACTTCTACATAGTCTACTCACTGAATGGAATGATCCACTGTAGAGAGAAAAATGTAACAGAAAAAAATGCGATGATCAAGATGTCCTAGTGCATTTTGTGCTACTATAGCAGAATTCCTGAGACTGCGGGGATTATAATGAGCAGAAATCTGTTGTTTCACAGTTCTGGGGGTTGAGAAATCCAAGTTCTGGGAACCAGTATCTGACAAGGACCTTCTCTCTATGTCATTCCAAGGTGGAAAGCAATGAAAGAGCTAAAGAGAATAAGAAATAAAATGTGAGCCTCATTTGCTTTCAAAATGGTCATTAATCCATTTAGAATGTAAAGAGTTCTCATGACTTATGTGCCTGCCTGTACCCCATTTCCCAACACTGTTGCATTAGGATTAAATTTCCAACTTGGGGGGCTGGAGAGATGGCTCAGCGGTTAAGAGCACTGACTGCTCTTGCAGAGGACCTAGGTTTGATTCCCAGGACCCACATGGTGGCTACAAACCATCCTTAACTCCAGTTCCAGGGGAGTCCAAAACCCTCTTCTGACCTTGGCATTGCACGACACGGGTGCACTCACATACATGCAGGCAACACACTCATACACATAAAATAAAAATAATAATAAATAAAATATTTTTAAAAATTCCAATTTGTGCACCAGAAAAGGCTAATTAGAACTTTGGCTGAGTTATTTAATATCTTCACCTTGGATTCTACAACCCCAAAATTTGGGGGCAATAAGACCCACCATCTTAAGGCTATTCAACAATTAAATCCTAGTCATCAAATATTATGGTATTGGTAGAAGGTTCAGTAAAAATTTTTGGCTCACAATTCACTTGATAGATTGGTACTAAAAGTGAACCCAGAAATTAAGTGTCTAATACATATGAGATGCTAAGAAATATTTGTTAAGTGCTGAATGAATATGTTTCTGGAACATGAACTTTGATTATCATAAATATGAATTTGATGCTTATGGCTTATACTGGGATGCAGACACACCTTAGATACTCACTCATGCTGCTCATACGTGCTACTTGCTGTGATATTGATGTTTGTGGCCTTGTGTTTACAGGGTACTATTTTTCTGCCTGGAAATAAAGTCCTTGAACATTCCGGTAATGAAGAGAACCCAGGGAAATTCCTTTTTGAAGTAGTTCCAGGTAAGATAGCTTTTCTGTTTTGATTAAATTATTGCTCTTCTGTGTTGGGAAAAGTGAAGACATGTCAGACAGGTTTCAGCTGCTTTTGTTCTGGCTAGAAATATTCATATGAGAAGGCAAGCATGAACTTTGCATAGTTACATAGACAATGGCATCAGGTGTGTACACTGGTACAAATGAATGCGTGTGCACACACACACTCACTGCCACACTATGGTTAAGTTGTCTACAAGACTCCTAAGTTGATGGCAACTAACTACACAGTACTCCTAAGGGACTATGTGAGAAAAGTCACAGTTTACTAGAATCTTGTGATAGGAATTTGACCAGGTGTTGCAGGTCAAGTGCTTTTTCTAGGGGATTCACAGATACATTTTCTTATAAAACTGTTTTTTAAATGAGCCCTTCCTATTAAAAAATAAATAAATAAATAAAAACTCCCTGTGACCTAGCAAGTCTGTACCTCAACGTTGCTCCCAGTCAATTACTTCCAGGTTTGGCCTTAGAATTGACGATATCTCTGCCAGGTCATCAGATGCTGCTGTTCAATTTCTGCAACAACTGTTCATTTTACTTAGTTATCTGCTCCCATCCCTTTCAGTATAATTGATTCACATGTAAATCTTGGAATAAACCTTAAACAATTTCTCCAAAGCCATGGTCTATGTCTTTGATCAGATTTTCAGTATCTCCTTATCCTTTAGTAAAAGAAAACGGGAATTAACAATGTGTTTTTTAATAGAATTGGGTCTGGATGATCTAGTTGATGTGTGTGTGTGTATGAATTCATTTGTGTGAGTAATATGCAATTCATACCAATAATGCTGGCACAAAGATGGCCAATGAAACATTTTCCAAGATTTGTAAGTGATGGGAATTGAAACTGTGAGAGCATATTCCCCCCCCCCCCCAG